CCCAATCAAAAATAATACCTAAATCCACTAACTATGTAGATAAGGAAGAAGGGTAAAACCACAGGGAAACGAGTTAATTTATTCCTATTTAATCAAAATAATCTAAATTATCAAGTAACCAAATTGTTATTATAAAAGGGAACTAAACTACTAAGAGTAAAAGTGGGAAGGAATAAAAGTAGGAAGAAAATCAATGAAATAAAAGCCTGGGGCATAGGTTCACCAATAAACAATATTCCAGGGTAAAACATAACAATCAATCATCAATGCATCAATTAATTAGATCATAAAGGGCTTTCGCTACATATTACAATCACAGAGTTAATTTACCGGTATTAAATCTCATCTCTCGAATCTCGACTTAACCATTTATAAATTAGTCCGCCTATTGAAATTAAGCCTAAACATCAATTCTCATCTCTTGAATCTCGAATCAATATTGCTAAACTCATACAATTAAACCAGACCTAATCTAATTGCATAGCATTAAATCAATCAATAAGAAAATAATTAAGCATTGACAATCAACATTCATAAAGTACCCCTTCATATTATTTATTGGATCCCCATAAACTACTCACACATAATTAAATCTAAACTAAATAAAGCAATTAAACAAGTCATAAGGGAATAAAGGAATAAAATTGTTGAAATTAATAAAGAAGAAATCGTTACCAAAATCAATGGAACTACAAAGTTGAGTCAAGAACAAGAGTAAAAGTTGAGAGAAATCTAGAGAGAGAAATAATCTAAGTAGTGAGTGAAAGTCTAAGAAAAGAGGTAAAACAAAAATATAGTACTAAATCGTACTTAAACAAACTCTAAAAACACTCCTAATTAGAAACTAAGAATTCGGCTAAGAAGTCTCCCCAGAAACACGCGCCCGATCGGGCGAAGGGCCACCCGATCGAGCTAATGCTCACGCGATCGGGCACGTCTTAGCGTTGCTAGCAGCACATAATTGCGCGCCCGCCCGATCGAGCGAAGGCTTTCCCGATCGGGCCCGGTTCTTCCTCGAGGCTTGGACTTCGATTGCGCTTTGATTCTTCGGCTCAATCCGGATTTCCTCTTCGGGTCTTGAATACTTGGTCCAAATTCCCCGGTATCACATATACCGAGCCCTTAATCAGCGGCTTGATGACTCTAACCGGCCTTGAGCTTCAAAAACGGTCGTGCTCCTCCAATGTTCGTAGTTGCTCCATGAAAACCCAGGAAAATGCTCCAAAAGTGCAATTTCCTACAATACTCAAGCAAATCTACGAAAACACTAGAAAACACCCATTAGTAATAAAAGTGGCTCTAAAGAGCCAAAAACACTAGTAATTATGACCAGGGGATGGGGGTAAAATACTATCTAAATTAGACACATCATCCCTCTCAAAAAATTCCTCATACATTAGTTCTAGACACACCTAGCCAAGTTCGAAGTTGTCTTCGCCCTAGACGTGAAAGGTTTAATATTTCTGAGGGTTTGGTCCCAAATTTCTATTTCAATTATTTAATTTAATTGTTTGATTTTTATTTTCCTTGAAGTTACTAACGCGTGTATTTTGTTATTAGAAAGAGATACGAGACATCCAAGTAAGTGATTTAATTACTTTAATTATATTTTGATGTAGAAATCATGCTTAGATTATTTTGTTGATTCTTAGTATCATGTTAGGATGTTTTATTGCTTCCTAGTATCATGTTTAGGATTAACTAATATTTCTGATATTATTATGATGCTTTCTATTTCTTTTCTGATATCATGTTAGTATCATGTTAGGGCTAAAGCATTGATTTTTATTGTTTAGTGAAATGTTAGGGTTTGTTATTAATCTTGTTAATATCATGCCTAGGATCTTGCTAATATTATTATGCTTTATTTTTAACATGATTATGATTATGGTGATTATTATTATCTTGCTTGATTGTTATTTTTATTTTTATTGCTTGATCACGCTTTTATGCATGTTTAAAGGGAATTTGTACTTGTAATCACGCTTAATAAGATAATTAATAATCTTGTTTAGGTTAATATGATTATAATTCAAGTGATCGCCAATAATAGATTTGTTTGTGCATTAATATTCAACCATCATAGATTAAACATGTTTAGGGTTAATCTATTGATTGCATGTTAGTCAAAAAGTGCAAGTAGAGGCCTATTTTTAGGGCAAGTTCAATCTCTTTTAGGTTGGATTTGTACCTTCATCCCCGAACTTCCTGTCATGGTTCCAGACCTATTGGAGTTAATGATCTCCTGGATCGTTAAGGGGTGTAACCTTCACCTTGTGAACGGTTTACAAGTTCCTAAAACTTGTTGGCGACTCTTTTACTCTAGCTTCCTTCCCTTTGGACGCCACCATGCTTAAGTGTTTGATCACAGTGGGGCTCAAGTGGGAAAACTGAGAGGACTATTAAAACCGTGGAAGACATGTTGAGGGCTTGTGTTATCGACTTCTAAGGACGATGGAAAGATAGCTTGGAATTATTGAATTTTCCTATAATAATAGCTACCATGAAAGCATTGACATGGCTCCATTTGAGGCATTATATGGAAGGAAGTGTTGCAGCCCAATTTGTTGGAATGACATAAGTGAAACAATGGTTTTAAGGCCTCAAATGATCGAAGATACAATTAAACAAGTAAAGGAAATTCAAGCGGCGCAAGATCGCCAAAAGAGTTACACAGATTTGAAGCGTAGAGGGGAAGGGTTTGAGGTTGGTGACAAGGTATTGTTGAAGGTGTCACCACTGTAAGGTGTAATGAGGTTTGGGAAGAAAGGAAATACAAGCCCAAAATATATTAGTCCATATGAAATATTGCAAAGGATAGATGAAGTGGCTTATAGGTTGGCCTTACCAATGGAGCTAAGTAAAGTACATGATGTATTTCATGTATCTCAGTTAAGAAGGTATATCCCTGATAAATCACATGTGCTACAACTTGAAACAATCGAGTTAAATCAAATCTTAACTTATGAGGAAAGACCTGTCAAGATCCTTGACAATAAAGTGTGCAGTACACGCAATAAAGAAAGTTAAGATTGTCAACGTGCTATGGTCTAACCAAGAGTATGAGGAAGCAACTTGGGAAGCTAAGGATGAAATGAAAAAGAAATATCCCGAGTTCTTTAAGGTGTGTTGAGTTACGAGGACGTAACTCGTTTTCTTTAAGGGGGGTAGAATACGGTAGAATTTCGCGTTTTCCCTATATTTTCCGTTATTTGTGTGCTTTTTGCACATTTTTAATGGTTATTTCAAGTTATTTTAATTTCAAGGATACATTAAAGGCAAAAGTATGGCAAAAGAGTACACCAATATAATACAAAGTGAGGAAAAAAGCTTGAATTTCGCTACCCAACTTTTAGGACGAAACTTCTTTTAAAGGGGGGTAGACTGTAATACTCTGTATTTTTATACGTATTTTAATTTAAATTGGTATTTTATAACATATTTAAATAATTTGATGAATTATTTATGGTATTTCATTAATTTTAAAAAAAAAGTATTTTAATTAAAATTTTATTTTTAACTATTTAACAATCTTGAATAAATTTTCTTTCATGATTTGGAAACTTTGGGGCATGTATTTTATAAAAGGAATTTTTAGGGTGTTACACCTAAGCTATCGCGTAGCTACTAAGGAAGGGAAAACTAAGAAAGTTCTAAAGAGAGTTTAAAGAAAATGAAAAGCTTTTGTTGTTTGATTCGTTGATGTGTTTTATGTAAAGATTCTTCCTCTGTTCATAGGCAAAAGCCTCTTGAAAATATGTCCATGATCTCCTTTCAACCGCTAAACAATTTTTTTTCTTCTTGACGGCAAGCCGACAACAATATCTTTTTAATTTACCTTTAAGTGACTAAAGACCAAATCTTTCCTTGATTGTGGGCTGCTTATTGGGCCTGGTGTTATATTCATCATCGCGGACTCTTTAGTATTAATAGGTCAAACACCCTACATTGGGTGAAGCTTTTGATCTTCTGTTAAAAAGCCAAAGTCCACAAAAGACAAAATTTTAAATTTGGGTTTAACAGTATTGTTTAGTTGATATGGGATTTAAATTCCTACAAGAATTTGTATTTCATAGAAAATTAATTCCTCAATTATTCCTAGAAATTTTCTAAATGTGTTTTGATTGGTAATATGGGAAGTTGAAAATCCTATGAATATTGATTCAAAAGGGGGCTTAGTTGTTGTGTAATTGTATATTGAAGATGACATATCATACATCTCTCGGAAGTTTCTATCGGTAGTAGTTTTAATTATATTTTTGTTATTTAGGAGTCTGATATCAAGTAGAATATAATGTTAGTATAATTCGGTTAAAGAAGATAGTTAAGCATGAAGATCATATTTATTGCAAAACATTATCTTTACAAATTAGGAACTTAGGATTAGTTTTCCTAGTTGTGTTAGTTTTCGTTATACATGATGTTTAGGCTACATGATGATGTTTAATGAAAAAGGATGAATGAATGATTGATAGATTTTAAATTTTATAAAGTTTTACGTAACCTCGTATTTGTGTAATTTTAGCCTTGTTTAGGTTTTAAGATCGTATTGTTTATTGTTTGTTGACAGTGTGTCAAGTTCCCAACCTTTCAACCAAGATTGAAGGTTGTATCTGATAAGTGACTTTTATGTCACTTTTAGGGTGTTTATTGAGTCGTTTTCCGGCTTATTTTCCAATAATTTAGCCCATTTTGTCCTATATTTCTATTGTTTGCTTATTCTCGTCTTTTATCTTTATTTTGAGTATTTTAGTAGTTTTTAATAGTTTTTAGCTTATTTTCTTAATTTATTTAATTTATCTTATATTTTATGTTTATATTTTAAGTTTTTAGTTCTTGTTTTCTAATAAGTTCCTAATTTCTCTCATTTTCTTATTTTATTTTATTTTCATGTTTGTTCTCTTTATTTTATTTTATTTCTTTTGATTTTATTTTTTATGTTATTTTTATTTTATTTTATTTTAGGGTATTTTCATTTTTACCACCTTCAAATAATGACTTTGTCGAATTTACCACCTCCAAAAAAAAAACATTTACTTTACCACCTCATAAAAAAATTAAACATCAGTTTTACCACCTCATCTGAGCTCAGGTGACGGAAAACGCTTGTGGGGCCCAGTTAACTGTCACTTCCCTCCAATTTAATTCTTTTAAAATCGATTTCCCTCTGTCTCCTCCTTTTCTCACCTTCCACCTTCCATAATCAATGTCTCACCAAATTTCTCACTTCCTCATCAATTTTCGTCTCTCTCTCCTTTGATTTTTCTTGATTCTCACTGTAACTGCTTCTCTCTCCTTTGATTTTTCTCTTTCTCTCTGTAAAAACTGAAACCCTAGATCAATTTGGGTGGTTGAAATCGAGCTGGAACCACAAAATTGCAACACATCAGCTTCTCTTGTCATCTTCCACAGTATGAGGGGACCAAAAGCTTGGTAATTTGCTGACAGAAATCGAGATTCCTGACTACAAGAGGTACTTTAAACCCTTTATTAGTACATTTCGTTGGATTTATGGTTGTCAATTGGGGTAAAGTATGCCTTTTTTGGGAATCTGTGAATTAAAGTATTATAAACCCTAATTATGCGAATCTTTGACTGAATTAGAGTGTGCATTTGTTAAATAATTAGTTAATTAGATTTACTTGTTTACTGTTAATTTAGTGCATAGTCAATGTGAATTGCTTTTACTTGCTGTAATTGGTGAATTGGTTGTTTTTGTTTACTGTAATTACTGAAATTGGTTATTGTTGTGTGTGCTTTTGTTGGTGTTGTTACAGAATGGACACAGTGGACTTAAAAATTACAGTAGGGGGTGCCTTTATACCTTCTTTAGCTGGTAAAAATAGAAGGGTGTTAACTTGGGATGGTGGGTGGGTTTATTGGATGAGAAAAGTGGAAAAAAATAAGATAGATGTACACTTTTTGAGGCAAGCAGCTATACATGGGTTTGTGTATGTGAATGTGAAGGTTCCTAGGGGGTTTAGTTGCTGGTATAAACAAAAGGGCAAGTCTTGGGTGAATGGTAAAAGGGAGCTTGTTGATGGTGAGGTGAATGGTTTCCTAGAGTCTGTGAACAAAGAGGGGGCATGTGAGATGTATGTTACCAGTCATGAGCCAATTGAAGGGACTAACAAAACACCCTTCAAATGTATAGCTGGGAATGAGCTAACCCCTGCACAAAGGAAGGAACTGAAAAAGAGGTTTGGTGGGCCTAAAGTGCAAGAAGCCAAAGGTGATGAAACAATGCAAGAACTGTGGTGGGTTTGGCCACTTTGCCAAAACATGCAAGGCTGAAGCAGCACCAGAACAGCCTAACCCACCTGCAACAAATCCAAAGGGTGGGAGGCCACAGATGCAGACTCCTTGGCTTAAGGAACAGAGAAAGAAAAGTGAAGAGAAAGCAGCAAGACAGGTTTTTTGTGTATTTTGTGACTTGAGTGTATTTAGTGGCTTTGTTTCTGAGTCTTGTCATACTGTGATTGCAGGCTACACTGAAGTTGCCACAATATCAGCCTCCAACAACAGCACAGGCTGGGTCAAGTAATGCTGCACCTGCAACTGATGTGTCAAGCCAGCCTGCAACAAGAACAGAGCCTTTGCCAACTCAGCCTGTTACCAGGAGCAACAGGAGCCTGAGTCAACCCACAAGAGTGCCAACAACTACTCCTCTTAAAGTCAAAATACAGACCAGGTCCAAGCTTCATGTAATGACAAGCAAGAAGGACAAGGATCTCAATCAACTGTGACCCTAGGTCTACTCATTAGTATTTTGTAATAGACAACCAAGTTTATTTGGTAGTTGAACAATGATTTTGCACAAAGGTGCCTTAACTTTTGTCTCAGCCAATGTAAAACAATTAAAAACATTGTGTTGCAAGTACTAATACGAAATGTGATATGTTTCTACCAAAAAGTTCCATTTCTCATTGATTTTGTTAAAATTAGTACAAGAAATTTTGTTTCTAAGCATTCCTAAATGAACCTAAGATCTAAAATAAATAGCCAGTACCAAACCAAAACAACAAAACACAACAATAGCATGTACTGTGAGCATTTTCTTTGTTGTTGCATTGCTGCCATGCGCTTCCTTGATCATCTTCTTCCTGTCTGAGCTAAGAGCTTTGCATTTCATCTTCAAGCTGTCAATCTCATTGAGCAAGCACCTCCTTTGTCCACTAACATCATCAACTTCCCTCTTCATGTCATTCAGCTCTCCCTTCATTAGTTTCTTGTCCAGCAGCAAGTTGTTAATCACCTCTGCTTGCCAAGGTGTTCCATCTGGTTGATCCACCCACTCAAAAGCTTTACACCCCCTTGACTCAGTCACAGGATCATAGAATTTGCAGGTCCTAAACTTGCGTCCTGGGTTCTCCCTAGTCCAAGCAGTCAGCCTAGACATTGGAACTCCACATTGGCATTTTTTCTCCTTTGAGGGTGACATGCTAACTGAAGACATTCCCTTCTGAAATTCAGTAAGAACAAGAATGAAATTAATTGTATTTGAACACAATCACCATAATATAACCCTAATTTCAGTAGCCAATTCACATAACAAAAACCCCCAATCTAATTTAATCTTACATGAACCCTAAGTATTTTAATTGAAATTGGGGTTTAATTGACCTCACAAAACGCCCAATTTCAATTACTCTTAGCAAATGCAACATAATCACGCAACGAATTGCCAAAAAATTACAACAAAAATCACGAAAATTGCTAGAGAATTAACGACAATGGCTTACCTTTTTGATGCTTGTTGTCGAGGAGTTCAATTGATTGTTTGATAATTAGAGGGTTTGGGATTGTTAAGGTCGCCCAAAAATACTGATTTGTGAAGAAAATCGCAAAAATTAATCTCCAATCTGCAAGAATTTGGTGTACAAATGAAGAACTAGGTTTTAATAAAAGGGAAATCGAGAGAAATTTGGGAAAAAATCAAAAACTAGCCGTTATGCTGGGCCCCACAAGCGTTTTCCGTTACCTGAGCTCAGATGAGGTGGTAAAACTGATGTTTAATTTTTTTATGAGGTGGTAAAGTAAATGTTTTTTTTTTGGAGGTGGTAAAGTCGACAAAGTTATTATTTGAAGGTGGTAAAAATGAAAATTTCCTTTATTTTATCTTTATTTTATTTTATTTCGTGGTAATACCCTCGTGTTTTTGGTTGTAGGTGTTCCGGGTTTCAAGTTCAAATCGTGTTCGGGGTCCGAGGTTCGAGACAAATGCACAATGCTCCCTGCTCTTCCCCTACTGCCAGTCTTATCCTTCACCACACCTCATCTAATCCTACACCACACTTCTCCTTCCTGTCCTGCTCCAATTCTCCTACTCCCTCGACCTTTCGCACATACCTCCACCTTCAGCCACTCAAACCCAGCACCTCAACTCCAATTCACTTGTTGTGCCTCCCATTTCGCCTCCAATCACCACCACCCAAAACCCGCACCAGCCATGCCTCCTTCAGCACCCCAAATTGGCAGTCGCGCAAACCCACCTTTCACCACCGCAACAACAACAAAAACAACCACCTGCACCCGCAACTCAGAGCAGCAGCCACCGCCAAAACTGCCATCAATATCCACCTGAACCACGCAATTCTCCCCTGTTCCACCACTTTCACCACACAAAACCGCAGCCAACATCACCAAACAACCACCACCAACCTCCAATCACAGCCGCTTCCTACCAACAACAGCGAACACCACCAACCGCAAGCACCCAACATCAATTACAGCTGCAATTTCTCATCCCGATTCCACTATTTCCGCCCAAAATTCAGAGCAATGGAAAATCAATCAAGTTCGAGCAAACCAAAGGAGTTCGGTCGAAGTTCGAGTCAGAAACTTTTGAGGTTTTGTAATTTGAAGAGTTGTGGTCGAACACACCCATGGTTCGACCGAACCAACGCCGTAGTTCGGCCGCACCAACCCATAGTTCGACCAAACCATTTCACGAGCTTCGTGCATGACTTTTAATGAAAATCGAACGGCTGCGATGTGATGATGCTTGATGATGATTTTCGATGAAGGGTGAAGATGATGAGTGATGGTGATGAAAGTTCAGAGAAGCCACGAAGAAATGGGGGAATCGAGGGTCTGATAATTCGTGGGGTGGGGTTTAGTGGGAATTGTAGGAATTTTTGAGTTTATTTTTCCATTTCATTTTCTTTTATTTTATTTTATTTTTAGTTTTGTTTTTTTTTTTGGTTTTTAGTTTAGTTATTTTAATTGTTTTAGTTTAGTTTTATTTCTTTTTAATTTCTTTTATATTATTTTAACTTGTATTATAAATACCCTCTTTAGGGTTATTTTCTCATAACTTTCAATCAACATTTTATTTAGATAGATTAGATTAGTTTAGCCTTTACTTTCTCTCTCTTAGGGTTAGTTTAGGAGTAGTGTAGAGAGAGAAAGATTGGATTTCCATGGAGTTTTTGAGAGGTTGAAGAAGCAACTTTGTGGAACTTCTTCTCATCTATTCAATGAGCATTTTCTAACTTTCTCTCATCTTTATTTCTTGCTTGATTCTTAGTTTTTTGCTTTTTGTTTATTGATTTGAGTAGATTAATTAGTTTATTTGTCTAATCTTGTTTTTATTCTTATTTTACCTTGTTTTCCATGTCTTTCTTCATTATAATAGCTTAGGTTTTGTTCTAGGGAATTGGATGAAGGTTATATTAATGAATTAAATGATTGATTGTGATTAGTATGAAATTGTTTCTTGATTATTGTGTATGGATGATGCTTTTATGGTTTAGAATCTTTCTAGCTAATTGATTCTATGCTTTTAATTGTGCTTTCAATCAATTGTGCGAGAGTGAGTTGGTTGAGAGCCCTAAATTCTTCCATACTTTTACTAGGCTAGTTGCACGAGAGTGAATTAGTTTAGTAGGATAATTAACATGCTTAATTGTGCGAGAGTGAGTTAAATGTGTTGATGTTCCTAAACGAGGTCATTTTCATCTAATTGTATGATGTTGTTGAATGCATTGATGTAATTGGATTCTACTTTCCCTAGTTTTAATTAGGGTTTTTCTAAGCTGTACCCCTAAGGTATTCGAGTTTCTAAGGTGTACTCATGCTTTTTCAAGTTTCTAAACTGTGCCCTTCAACTCCTTATCAATACTAAAATGTACCCTTATTAGTTGTATAAAAGTTATTTGAGAGTGTGATTTCGTGGCACCAGTTTTCATTATTAGGGTTGCGGTGGCAAAGATTTCTTTCTCCTACCATTTTCTTACCTTTTTATCATCTTTCTATTAAATTTATAGTTAACTTTAGGTGACGTGGAATTCCCAAGGAGGGTACCATTCAATAATGGTAGTGAGTTGAGGGGCACAACTTAGAAACACGAAAAAGCTTGGGTACACCTTAGAAACTCGAATACCTTAGGGGTATAGCTTAGAAAAACCCTTTTAATTATTTGCTCTTAGTAGTGTTAGGTTTAATCTCTCTCTATCTCACAACCTTTCCTAGTAGTCTAGTTGGCACAAATTAATGCACTTAGTCCTTTCGGGTTCGACCCTTTACTTGCCACTAACTAGTTTAGTGTAAGTTTAGGTATTATAAATTTCTAATTTGGTTAGGGTTAGTAGTCCCAACGACCTACTTTTACCCGCGATCAGTATCCAATAAAATCCAAGTCATTAGTAATTAAATTCCCATATTTTATGGGAAGTTTAAATTTCCACAAATTTTTACTTATCTCCCATTTTACTTTTTTGTGTCATCCAAACATGTACCACATTATTAACTCCCATGAATTCCCAATTTCCCATTCTATAACTTTTGATGGTTGTATGTCTAAAGTCTCGGCGCATAGCGACTATTGATTTCAGCGCATATAGGATGACAATTTTGCAATTAAAAAGTACTATTCTGACTAAAAATATTGTGTAGAATGGACTCATGTGACTCCTTCTATTAATTGGCCCGCGCTCGGCCCGTTTATTAAAGTTCAGCCGGCGCGCGGCTCGAACCTTAAATAGCTTTTTTTTCAAACACATCCATCGTTCCACCTTCCTCCTCCTTCTTCTCACCCACGTTTTCTGCATTTTCACTCAATTTTTATCAGTTACACTCCATTACTATTGACTAAATTTCCCATTTCCGAATAATTCTCATAACTACTTCACTTTCTAGCTTTAATTATATTTGCATGTATTTAATTTTTACTTCTTCTTTATAAACCCTAACATTCGTCATTTTTTACTCAATTAATGTCTACTATTTCGTCGATTAAAGATTCTTCTCCCTTAAAAGTTTATCTTAAACGAAGTAAACAAGCTCGAAAAAAGGAGAATACAGTTGCAATGGCTGAAAGGTTTATTATACTTCAGTTATTTTTTAGGTTATACTATTTTTTTAAAAAAATCATTTTTACAATTTATTATTTTGTTTTGTAGGGTCGATTCAGAACCACCATTGAAGAAGCGTGGTCCTAAACCTGGGTCTAAACGAAGTCGACCTGTTAGGTTTGAAATTCTATTCTATTTATTTCGCAAAAAGACATAGCATTTTGTATTTGTTGTTTCATATTAAATATTTTTTCTTGGGAAATAAACATACATATCTGGTTATTATATTGTAATTTGGTAATTGTAGGGAATATTTCAAGCATTACACCTAGCTTGAACCCCACTGTGATCATACACTAAAGTACGGTGGCGTCCAAAGGGAAAAAAGATAGAGCAAAAGAGTCGCCAACAAGTTTTAGGAACTTGTAAACCGTTCACAGGGTGAAGGTTACACCCCTTAACGATCCAGGAAATCGTCAACTCCAATAGGTCTGGAACCATGACTGGAAGTTCGGGGATGAAGGTACAAATCCAACCTAAAAGAGATTGAACCTACCCTAATAATAGGCCTCTACTTTATTCTGATCGTATTCATGTGCGCTTTCTGACTAACATGCAATCAATAGGATTAACCCTAAACCTGTTTATCTATGTTGGTTGAATATTAATGCACAAATAAATCTATTATTGGCGATCACTTTAATTATAATCATATTAACCCTAAATAGGATTATTAATTATCTTATTAAGCGAGATTACAAGTACTAATTCCCTTTAAACATGCATAAAAGGCGTGATTAAGCAATAACAATAAATATCAAGCAACATAACGATAATAACAATAATCATAATAATTATAATAATCATAAATCTTAAAAATAATCATAATAATGTTAAAGCATAATAATAGCAAGATCCTAGGCATGATACTAATAAGATTAATAACAAACCCTAGTATATCACTAAGCATCAAAATCAAAGCTTTAACCCTAACATGATTATTAATTATCTTATTAAGTGTGATTACAAGTACCAATTCCCTTTAAACATGCATAAAAGGTGTGAGCAAGCAATAACAATAAATATCAAGCAACATAACAATCAAAATAAATCATAAAGTATAATCATAATTATAATCAAAACAATAATCATTATAATAACAATCATATTAATAATCATGTTAAAGCATAGCAAGATCCTAGGCATGATACTAACAAGATTAATAACAAACCCTAGCATGTCACTAAGCAATAAAAATCAAATCTTTAACCCTAATATGATACTAACAATCATAAATATTAGGAAGAACATAAAAGGCATCATACTTTTAATCATACTTGATATTAAAGTTACCCTAGACATGATACTAGGAATTTATTGTTGTCACCCTAAACATCAGATTAAGGAAAACATCCTAACATGATACTAGGAATCATAATAACAACCTAAGCATGATTTCTACATAATAACATCAATAAAAATCATTAAAGCACTTACTTGGATGCCTCGTACCTCTTTCTAATAACAAAATATACAAGTTAGTAACTTCAAGGAAAATAATTAAAACAATTAAATTAAATAATTGAAATAAATAATTGGGACCAAACCCTCAGAAATTAAAACATTTCACGTCTAGGGCGAAGGCAACTTCGAATAATGCTAGGTGTATCTAGGTCTTGTGACTGCAGAATTTTGTATTCTAGAAAAGGCTAGTTTAGAAAAGAGAGAGAAGTTTATATCAAGAATTTCTTGATGAGAGTTGGTGAATGAAAACGGAGT